AGTGAAAGATACTGCATGAGGCTAGAACCCAGGAAAAATAGGGAAAACAGCTCTGCTGGGATGCCACCTCCTCTGGGTCCTCCTTTTCCCAAATGATTTCCATCTCAGTTGATCCTTACAATGATTACTACATAATTTTAAGAACCAAACCTATGTTTTCCTTTTTGTTACTCTTCACTTTTCTATCATACTTTTCAGATTATAAACCAGAGGTACAGGAAACAAGCTGATTTTTAATGAACTGTAAACCAATGTTGAAGCTTTATGGCTTAAGAATAGGCCAGAAATTTGTGTGGGTACTTCATAAAAATATATATATCTTTCCAATTAACAAAATATTTGTGCTTCTTTATCAACTGTGGTCATCACCAGCCATTCTGCTCTGCTCTCAAAGTCATCCTCCTTCATGGACTGCTGCCTTGTCATGGCAAAGGGGCTTGAGTAATTCAGAGAAGCTATGGGCTATGCCGTGCAGAGAAACCCAAGATGGACAGGACATAGTGGAGAGTTCCGACTAAATGCAATCCACCTGGAGTAGGAAATGGCAATGCCACTCCAGTATCTTTGCCAAGAATACCCCATTAACAGAAACAAAAGGCTAAAAGATATGATTCTGGGAGGCCAGAAGGCATCCAACAAGCTACTGAGGAAAAGCGGAGGACAAGGACAAGTAGCTCCAGAGCTAATGAAGTGGTTGGGCCAAAGCCGAAAGGAAGCTCAGCTGTGGACGTGCCTCGAAGTGAAAGGTAAGTCCGATGCTGCAAAGAAAAATACTGCAGAGGAACCTGGAATGTAAGATCTATGAACCTTGCTAAGCTGGATGTGATTAAGCAGGAGATGGCAAGAACAAACACTGACATCCTGAGTGTCAGTGAACTAAAATGGATGGGAATGGGCAAATTCAATCCAGATGATTACCATATCTATAATTGTGGTCAAGAATCCCGTAGAAGAAACGGAGTAGCCCTCATACTCAACAAAAGAATGGGAAAAGCTGTGCTGGGATACAATCTCAAAAATGATAGAATGATTTCAAATACAAATTCAAGCAGACCTTTCAACATCACAGTAATCCATGTTTATGCATCATCCACCAATGCTGAAGAGACTGAAATTGACCAATTTTAATAAGACTTACAACACCTTCTAGAACTGACACCAAAGAAAGATGTTCTTCTCATTATAGGGAACTGGAATGCTAAAGTAGGCAGTCAAGAGATAAAAGGAACAAAAGGAAAGTTTGGCCTTCGAGTTTAAAACCAAGCAGTGCAAAGGCTAATAGAGTTTTGTCAAGAGAACAATCTGGTCATCACACACACTCTTTTCCAACAACACAAGAGGCAACTTTCCACCTGGAAATCACCAGGTGGGCAATACCGAAATCAAATTGATTATACTCTCTGCAGCCAAAGATGGAGAAGCTCTATACAGTCAGCAAAAACAAGACCTGGAGTTGATTGTGGCTCTGATCATCAGCTTCTCATAGCAAAATTCAAGCTGAAACTAAAGAAAGGAAAAACACTGGGCCACTCAGGTTTAATCTAAACCAAATACCTTATGAATACACAGTGGAAGTGAAGAACAGATTTAAGGAACTCGATTTGGTGGACAGAGTGCCTGAGGAACTTTGGATAGAAGCTCGTAACATTGTACAGGAGGCAGCAACAAAAACCATCCCCCCCAAAAAAGGAAATGCAAGAAAGCAAAGTGGCTGTCCAATGCAAAGAAATAGAGGAATGCAAAGAAATAAAGGAAAATAATAGAAAAAGAAAAACCAGAGAATGTTCAGTAACATTTTGTGCAAAGATGGACATAATAAAGGACAAAAATGGTAAGGACCTAACAGAAGCAGAAAATATTAAGAAGAGTTTGCAAGAATACACAGAGGAATTATACCAGAAAGTTTGGATATCCTGGAAAACCCAGATAATGTGGTTGCTGACCTTGAGCCAGACATCCTGGAGAGTGAAGTCAAGTGGGCCTTAGAAAGCTTGGCTAACAACAAGGCCAGTGGAGGTGATTGCATTCCAGTTGCACTATTTAAAGTCTTAAAAGATGATGCTGGAAAACGCAGCAGTGGCCAAAGGATTGGAAAAGGTCAGACTATATCCCAATCCCAAAGAAGGGCAGTGCCAAAGAATGCTCCAACTACCATACAATTGCACTCATTTCACACGCTAGCAAGGTTATCTTCAAAAATCCTACAAGGTAGGCTCAGCAGTATGTGGAATGAGAACTCCCAGAAGTACAAGCTGGATTTCGAAGGGGTAGAGGAACTAGAGACCAAATTACTAACATGTGCTGGATTATGGAGAAAGCCAGAGAGTTCCAGAAAAACATCTTAAGAAATGGAGTGCCTCATCACCATATCAGTCTCCTGAGAAACCTATATGTGGGACAGGAAGCAACAGTTAGAACTGGATATGGAACAACTGATTGGTTCAAAATTGGAGTATGACAAGGCTATATATTGTCCCTCGTCTTATTTAAATTATATCCAGAATATATCATGGGGAAGGCCAGACAGGAGGAATCCCAAACCGGAATTAAGATTCCCGGAACTAATATCAACAACCTCAGATATGCAGATGATACCACTCTGGTGGCAGAAAGTGAGGAGGAATTAAAGAACCTTATAATAAGGGTGAAAGAGGAGAGTGCAAAAAACTGAAGCTCAACATCAAAAAAACTAAGACCATGGTCATTGATCCCATTACCTCCTAGCAAATAGAAGGGGAAGATAGGGAGGCAGTGACAGATTTTACTTTCTTGGGCTCCATGATCACTGCAGATAGTAACAGCAGTCACGAAATTAAAAGAGGCCTGCTTCTTGGGAGGAAAGCGATGACAAACCTCGACACCACCAAAGCAGAGACATCACCTTGTCAACGAAAAGTCTGAATAGTCAAAGCTATGGTTTTTCCAGTAGTGATGTACGGAAGTGAGAGCTGGACCATAAAGAAGGCTGACTGCCGAAGAATTGATGCTTTTGAATTGTGGTGCTGGAGGAGGCTCTTGAGAGTCCCCTGGACTGCAAGGAGAACAAACCTATCCATTCTAAAGGAAATCAACCCTGAGTGCTCACTGGAAGGACAGATCCTGAAGCTGAGGTTCCAGTACTTTGGCCATCTCATGAGAAGAGAAGACTCCCTGGAAAAGACCCTGATGTTAGGAAAGTGTGAAGGCAAGAGAAGGGGACGACAGAGGATGAGATAGTTGGACAGTGTCATCGAAGCTACCAAAATGAATTTGACCCAACTCTGGCAGGCAGTGGAAGACAGGAGGGTCTGGTGTGTTCTGGTCCATTGGGTCAGGCAGAGTAGGACATGACTAAACAATTCAAAGTCATCCATTGTCTGAGCTAATTTACACACTTTACAACTGATTACAAAAAGGCTGAATGGGGAAAGTTCATCAATGTCTGTAAAGAGTCCACCTGATTAACATCGTTACTCTACCATCATTATTTTACCATTGTTAATCTTAAGGGTTTCTCATTCTTTACAACAATGGCTTATACTAAACCCCTGGATATTTAAGACACTATCATCACAAAGTTTAACACCCATTGACTTTTTTATCAACCCACCACAACCTTAATACTATGTATCAATATTTGCCATGTTAGATCTCGTTTTATGTCTGATGAAGTGGATTTGTCCATGAAAGCTCACATTGTCCATGAAAGCTCTACCTTTGGGGAGAGTGGGCGGCATATAAATTAAATAAATAAATAAATAAATGTAGTTAGTATTTAAAGTGCCACTATATTTTTGTTTTGTTTTTTTTGCTCTATTTTTATGTTGTCTTCACCTTTCATAAAATCATCTGAGACCACATTTAAATGTCATTATCAACAACTACACATAAATTAGGCTATGGAAAAAAAGGCCAACTCCTTCCAAGGAAGCTCAGGGCACGCTGAAACAAAAACTTTTAAAAATTCTAAAAATATCAGCTACAGCAGAATTAAAGAAGTGCCAGAACCATTCCATATCTGACTAAAATAAACAAAGTCTTTACGTTTTCATGTAAACTAGGAGTGCACTAGCTCCATCTTGCTATTGCTATTTATGGAAAGGGAAAGCTTAGAGAGCCACCTAAAAAGGACTGCTGAAAATCTCAGCTTTATAACTTTCTGGCTGCAGAGCTAAAGTTTGGGAGTACAACTCTCCCTGTGCCTTCTCGACAGAGCCTGGACTTGATGACCCATAAGATCCCTTCCAGTTCTGCAGTTTTAAAATTATTATATCATTATTATACAGTATCTTGAGGCACACCCCATCAAGAATGGCTGGATAAAAGCTGTGAAGTTGCCTTTATAGTGCACTTCCATTATTCTATGTTTGCCTTGCCTCGAACATACTGTATGTTGTTCTTCCAGTTGCTCAAAACTTAAACAACAGTTTGTAGTTTCCAGATCTAGTAATAAAAGAGGATACAAGGTTTTCAACAAATAGTTCAAGTGTCGGACAGCCTATCATCTCCACTGACCAAACCCACTTGCTCTAATGACGCCACTCAACATACCCCGTTTCCCGGAAAATAAGACTTAGCCTGAAAATAAGCCCTATGATTTTTCAAGATGCTCGTAATATAAGCCCAACCCCCCAAAATAATCCCTAGTTAAGTGAAAACCCATCCTCCACCATTGTGCAGCAATCAGAAGATGACATGACTGTATTTGAATAAATGTAGATTATTGTACATGAAAAAAATAAAACATCCCCTGAACGTTTTTTGGAGCCCTACAACGTTTTTTGGAGCAAAAATTAATATAAGACCCTGTCTTATTTTCGGGTGACATGATAGTGACATAGTTGCAAAGGCAATTTTAGGTTAACATGACTTCATACCATGGTATTTAATCACAAGTTTAAGTGGCAATAAGAAAATGTAACAAAGGTATGTCAAGAAAAATACATGGTGATAAGTTAAAGTCATCTTTCCCACTACCCATATGAAAATCTTAATGCATAAAGAAATTCCCAGGACAGAAATTTGTTGAGCAAGATGTCTTTAAGTGACAGGTTTGTCAAAAAGAAAAATCCTTAGTACAGGAAGTCAAAGCAAAAAGTACATGAGGCATTCTGGGTTTCTTTGTGGAATATACTTCCAACGACAATGAACTCCACTACAATGATAGGGGTTACCTGCAATACAAATGAAATACCATCTGGGCTGCAGAACAAAAAGATTCATTTAATACCTGGGATGGCTCTCTCAATATAGTGCAAGAAGTACATGTTAGTTTGCCAAGAGATAATCAAGACGTACATAAATTTTAACAGAGAATTCTGAAACAATTCAAGTACTGGTTTTCCACTCTTCTGAAAAACATCCCAGTTTCTTTTGGTGAAATGAAATGGATCCAGAAAATGGCTAAGTCTTAAGCCCTGACACAACAGAAAACAGGGGTGAGAAATTGGTAGAATTCATAGATGTGCAGTTAGATTTACATATTCATTTCTTTTCATATTCTTTTATCATGCACAGAACTTTTGGATCAAGCTCTTAGCCGTCCAAGTAATTTTTACAGATACACAGAACACAGCATGGTCAAAATAGGTATGCTTTTAATTCAATTAACAGAAATACTATTTTGTGTATAAGTAACTGAACTTTTTTTTAAAAAAATGCAAAATTAACATTTAATTGGTATGTTACAAACCATCTTGAAAAATACTGAACAATATAAAAGTCAGGTAAAATATTGAGCATTGCAACGTCTAGAGAATATATTTAGAAACATTTAGCTAATATAGCTTACAGAGGAATTTATCTAGTTAAAATGAAATGTAAATGAAACAGTGACACCAAGGAAATTTTGGTCAAAATACAAACTGCATTTCCAAATCCAAACATTTCAACTAGAATATTGATTTCTACAGTAGCTTTTGCTTCTTTTAATTAGAAGCACAAACAAAACAAACCTGACTTTCTTGTATATTTGTAATAATCCAGCTAAACTGGATAGCAGCATATAGTTCTCAGTGCCTCTTAACAGAAATACAGAAATAGAAAAGTGTCCCTGCTTTGTTTCAAATTTTGGCTATATCCTGGAAGGTGTTTTTTTTTCTTCCCCTTAAAAATTTCTAGGTAAAAACTATAGGCCAAAGCTCAGGGCTCCTCTTTCACTAGCATCAGACCAGACACTGGAATTATAAAACACCCTAAGTAAGTTTATCAGCTGAAGTTGTAATATTTTAGAGTCTAATAATTTAAACAGTAATTTCAGCTGATATTGGAAAACCTACTGTATATTTTCCCAAATGGAAGCAAGACTATACAAAATCTTGTTCACTTACTGTTTTCTAGTGTCTGGGTTAGTTACCATATATATTCAAGTTCTTACAGCCTTGGGTAAACACAGTGAAAACTGAGTCTCATTCAGAGTACATGCACATTAAATTGCATATGTTTATGAACATCTAATTTAAGGGACCAGCATCCAGGCTTTGGTTTCTTTTTTCTAGATGTATTTTCTGATAGGTCAAAAATGTTGCATTGGAATCCTTCATAGGAATAGGAAGAGCTTCATCTCCGTTGATCAATTTTATTGCAGTATCAAGTGGGATATGATCAGCTGCAAGAATAATTTGGGGAAAGCTTAAACAATCATAAAGCACAGTTTTATAAAATTTAGCATAGGCTAACACTGGGACACTGTCCATACAACTAAAATAGGAAGACTACCATAACAAATGCTATATATGGAAATCAAAGGTTCATTTCTAAACATGTATTACTTTTTTGAAAAAAGCAATAAAACAGTGAGAAGGAACAATTAGAAACACAAATATAAAACTACAAAATACAGAACAAAGTCTAAAAACTTGTTGAAAATGAGACAAAGCCATTCAAACAACAAAAGGACTCATTAGTAGTGCAACCCTAGACATTTCTACTCAGATGGCAGACCTCACTGGTCTACATATTACTTTGGCTCTGTGATGTGCGTTAAACTCATCAAAGCACCATAATAAATACTATGCTTCCTTACCTAGAACAGGGCAGCCAAAGGACAGTCTAACTTGTCCTACTGGATAGGTTCTATAAACAGCACAGTGGTGGTGTTCATGTCATTTTACATACAAGTTATCGCGGCTATCACTACGATTTCCACCTTATTTCTAGTCCAGTATACAAGACAGCTCATAACTTAAATTAAGAACAAATATGCATTAAAAACATGTGTCAAATTAAAATGTTAAAGCCATTGCCCTTGAAAACCCACAAACACCAGCAGAGCTTCAACAAAAAAAGAAGAAAGTCTAAAACTCAACAAAGTCTGGCTCCCAGCACTGAAAAATACAGCCTGCAAAAGTATTCAGACCCACCACAAAAATACAAAAAATGTTATGCTCAGCAAAGGACAAAAGGGACCCCCTCACCACTGCAGGAGTATACCGGATACCTTGCAGTTGTGGACAGATATATATTAGAATCACAAAACGCAGCATTCACACCAGAATCAAAAGAACATGAGAGACATTGCAGACTAAAACAACCGGAAAAATCAGCAGTAGCTGAACATGCCCTAAAATAAGCTGGACATAAAATTATATTTCCAAATACTTAAGTACTGGACAACACCAGCAACCACTATGTTAGACTGCACAGGGAAGTCATTGAAATCCATAAACATCAACAGAATTTCAACAAAAAGGAAGACGGCCTAAAACTAAACGCGGCCTGGCTCCCGATATTGAAAAATACAGCCTGTAAAAGGTCAATGAATTCTACCCAGCCACAAGGACCAATGATCACTGCACACAAAAGACCAGCTAATGACACCCATCAATCACAGCGACAGATCATCTCTCCCTCCTTATCACAACAATACACCCGCAACAAAAACATGCTGATCACCATAATCACCCAATCACCTGAAAAGGTGTTGAGTTTTAGACAAAAGCTGATCCCATGGCTATACTCAACTATCCAACAAAACTGCAACAGAGCATAGACAGAGTTCTGACTACTGTCCTCTGAAAATGTGGGCCACAGAGACTGGTGAAATGTTAGGAAGAAAAACCTTAAGAACATGGCCAAACAGCCCGGAAAACCCACAACAACCATTGCCCTTGCGCTCTACTTGTTAATTAGGGTATTATTAATTACTTATTATGGGTTATGGCATACAAGATGCAGATTTGGGAAGTACATATGTCATAATTAAGCAACCTAAGCTTAGTCTGCTACATCAATTTCAAGCTATCCTCCAACCTTATCAATTACCTACAGATTCTGGTAAATTATTCATACCTTATGCAAACATCAACAGAGTTCTAGTCAAGAGAAGAAAGTGAAGTTTCTCTAGATAAAGAAACCTGTTTTGAAATAAAAATCTATTGGGTGAGTCTGAAGTAGTCCTCTTTCAAGAGACTCTTATTATTATTATTA